AATCCACAATAAAAACCTTAAATTAAAAAAAAAAAAAGGGGGTGGGGTGGGGTGGAGTGGCGGGAGGCAGAAAGAAAGACAAGGAAGGCAATTAAAAGAAAAATACTAGTTTAAATAAGGAATGAGAAGGTGACCAAACCTGGGGTGACTAGAGATTAGGATGCTGGGAAAAGCTCTGGCTGCCTGCTCCCATAAGCATTGCAGCCTAGGAAACCCTAGGGGCTGTTCTCCTGTTTCCTGTAGGGTCGCTAGAGGTTGGAATTGACTCAACTGCACAAAGCAGTGGCAGAATTTCGGTAATATGCTGCTTTTCTTGCAGGTCCAAGGCTGGGGCAGCACCTCTCCAATGGCCTGCATATGGCCAAGGAAGAAAGTGAAGAAGCCGAGGGTGGGAGAAAGTAGCAGCAACTGCTTACTCTGTACCAATATCTCCCAGGGGAGCCCCGAGGCCAGGCCTGGGAAATCAGAGGCCCAGGCTGCCACTGAGGCAGGGCTGGGAAAGGAGCGGACCAACCCCTCTCAAAGTCCAGGCTTCCCCCACGATCCCCACACAGCCTCCAGGGAGACCAGCAAAACCTACTCTCCCCACTACCGTCACTGCGAGAAAAAAAGTCTGCAAATAAAGGAGTTTATTTGGTACACAGATGACTGGCCCGCCCAGGAGACAGTTAGGGGCAGGGACCCCAGAAGCCATGAGCACCACAGCGGAAAGCTCAAAAAGGGCTTCTCCATTGGGGAGTCCTTGACTTCCAAGGCCCTCTTAATTCTGCCCCCACTGAAGGCAGCACCCACAAATGCCCTGAATGCACTGGGCAAGAAGACTAAGGATGGTTTCTTACAGCAGAACGAGAAGGGATCAAGTGTGGACAAGAATGAGTGTCTGACCTGTAAATGTGGATCAAAAACAGTGGATGGGAAATGTGAAAGGAGGCCCGTGGAGCTGACCAGGCACTCGAAGGTCAAGGACTCTGTGTCCGTCCCTCCCCAGGCGGGCTGCCCGCCCCTGCTAGCCCAGCCTGAGCACTGCTACCTGCGCTGGTCCTTGCTTCCTGAGCGAAGGGTCTTGTGCCCGCCCACACCCAGCAATGTGCGCTACCTGGCCACTCTGCAGCTCATACAGGAGCAGGGAGTGCAGAACTACAAAGACAAGTTCAAATCCAAGGAGCCATGCATCCCAGAGAACACCCCGAAGGGCATTCTCACAGAGGACAAGCAGGAAAACAGGTCCCAAAGGCTGGAGACCAAAATGTTCTCGAGACCTCTCCTGCCGTCTCTCACCGTGAGCAGGCTTGTCATTCCCGTCTCCACCCATAGACTCCTCTGAGCTGTCACAATATAATTCCCTGGAAATAAGAACAGTTTGAAAGCCGTTCATCCTTTCTCTCCCTCTGCCCTCACTCTCCTTCCCAGCATCCCTCTGTCTCTAGCCTGTCTCAGCCTTTTAGAGACCACCGAGGTGTGATTGAGCTTCATCAGATGGGTTGTGGTTTATTCTCAGAAAGCCATATAAAAGGGCTTCCAAAAGTTAATGAAAAAATGGCATAGAAAGGCAAAGGAATTTTTCAAGAAACTTTTTGAAGCCCCCTTGTATTCATTAGCTGCTTTTCTGATGCTTAGCTGTTTACACAGTGCAAGCTGCTGAAGCCAGCCATAGTCTCTGTCTGCTCTTGTCACTCCACTGCAGGTGGTGATGAACACAAAGGGCCTCCTTCAGGGTGGCTCCCAATGTCACCCCCAAGCTGACCAAAAGGACTTCTTTTTGTCCGACCTCAGTGTCTCAGAGCACACTGGATTGTTGATGTTAAGTGCCGTTCATTCGTTTCCAACTCATAGTGACCCTTTATAGAGTGTCCGAGGAACAGCTGGTGGGTTTGAACATTTGGTTGGCAGCCAGCCCAGTGGTGATCCTGCAGTGCCACAGTGGGAGTCCAAATACACTGGACTAAAACACTGTATTAATAGAAATCTGTAGCCTGTGGCTGAGTGGGTATATTCATATCATAGCCTTGTGACGTTGAGGCCTTGGGTTGGTTCCCCGTGTCTGGAAAGTTTTCGTCACAGCTCTGTCAAATTCACCTTGGGAGTAGGTGAAGACTAGGTGCTTTGAAAAGAAAAGTGTCACTTGGATTAATTACTGTCACCCATATTCTTCCTCTGGCCTTCACCTTGCACCTGATAGGAATGCTACAACCCCGGGCAGATACTTAAGGAGTGGAGTCGCCACCTCCTTCCTTCTCCATTAAATACTCCCTCCACGCTCTAGTGCACTCAGCCATCCTGAAGTTGTACATTGACTAGCCATCGGTAACTGAGCTCTGTTTGAAACAAAAGGAAATGTTGCTGTGTGTGGAGATGCCCTGACAAAACCACACTGTAATGCGCATGACCATTTATTTGCTTTGTAATGACATCATTTGAGTTTGCTGAAGATTGTACTTGAACAGCCCTAACTGGTGGCATGGATGGGAAACTCATCTGCATTTGTCAACATTTGTTTTCCGTAATTGGTCTTGTCTGTTAGGCTAAGCTTTTGGTTTTGTTCTCAAGAAACACCAATGATGCTGGAATGACTTCAATACAGCAGTCATGAGAAGGTACAGGCATACCTCGATATACTGTGCGCTTCAGTTTATTGTACTTTACTGACACTGAATTTTTTTTACCAATTGTAGGTTTGTGGCAACCCTGTTTCAAGCATGTCTGTTGCCATTTTCCCAACAGCACATACTCACTTTGTGTGTTTGTCACATTTTGGTCATTTTCACAAAATTTCTTTCTTCTTATTGCATATTTATTGGTGTGGTGCTGCAGAATAGGCACTGGACTGCTAATCACAAGGTTAGTGGTTCAAACCTACCAGCCGCTCCTCAGAAACCCCCATACAGGGTCGCTATGAGTTGGAACCGACTAAACGGCTCTTAACAACACGACCACATTGCGTATTTACTAGACTCCAGTGTAGCGTGTCAATAACTTTTATAGGCTCTGGGAAACCAAACAATTCATGTGACTCACTTTATTGCAACGTCCGTTTAATTGCAGTAGTCTTAAGCCTCAACCCTCATTATCTCTCAGCTATGCTTGTATTGTTTGCCTGCTGAAATTGGGTACTTGCTTATTTATAGTCCAGAAGCAAGTTTTAGGTATTCTCCCACTTCTTCTCTCAATGAGGGAACCTTCTGAATCTCTTGTGAAGAGGAGGTCCCTCTTCCCCACGGTTTCTGTGCGGAGAACGTGTGAGGACATTTCGCTCTGGAAGCCTACTGCAGAGTAAGGGGTTTTTCAAGCCCTCTTTTTAAGTAGCACAATAATGAATAAGCCCAATATGTAAAACAGTCCAAAGTGTGTATGTGTGTGTGTGGGGGGTTAGGGCCCCACCGACTCAGTGACTATGTGAAACAGTCCAAAGTGTGGGTGTGGGGGGGCGGTGTTAGGGCCCCAGCCCCACCTACTCAGTGAATATGTGAAACAGTCCAAAGTGTGTGACCTTTCAGAAGCAGATCACTAGGCCTGCCATTCGAAGCCCCCCCCCCATAGATTTGAGTCGACAACCCTTGGCATGTGGTTAAGTGCTTAAGTGTTTGTGCCATCCAGGGTCTCCTCTAGGTCCTCTTGTTGTTCTTAAGTGCCATCGAGTCGATTCTGACCTATAGTGACCCTGAATAGAGTTTCCAAGGAGCAGTTGGTGAGCTTGAATCACCGACCTCGCAGTTCAAACAACTTTGCAGTCTGACCCATTAGCCCAGAGCGCCACATGAGGACTCCCTCTTAGCCCTCTCCAAACTTTTAAGCATGGGAGTTCCGAGTGTCATTCCTTGTCCTAATGTTTCTGGATCTTGTCAGTAAAGCTTTGCAAACGCCCGTTTGCCTTAAAACTTTAAAAATCACAGTAGAATCCTGGTGCCTTGAACAGGATTCCCACACGGCCTGAAATCCTAACGTAGGATTTCCAGACTGAGCTGATGTTGGCCAAACACATTCATGATTGGCATCACCCAGGTGCTCCTCCCAAGTCTTATCATGGTCAGAGCCAGGAAGAGCTGTTGGCACTCCCTTCTTACGTGTTACCCCTCCATATGGAAAATGTGCTTGATTTCTTTGCAGAGTGTTCCAGATAATTCTGGGCTGGAGATTAATGTCTTGTATTTACCTTTGATGCCTTTATTCAGAGCTTGATGTTTTTCAGCACGCTCTTTCCCACTTCACAGCTTGTGATAAAGCAGTGTGAATATGAAGACTACAGTGTGATGTTCCCCATGATACTAGCTCCACAAAGTTTATTAGGCAATTCTATTTTTCCATGAACTTTTTGAATCCTCATACTGTATATGAAAAGTGCCCTTTCCCCATTGAGCTCCAACTATAACCTTCCTTCTTTGTGTATCTTTTAAAATTAAACAATTTCCTCCACTTTTTAACATTTAAAGACAATTTGTGTTCATGATTCTATTAAAGGCTTAATTGCTTTGGCTTATTTCCTCCAATATTAGGATTGCTATCTTTAATGTCAGTTCCAGGAAAGGAGGATGTTAGAAAATACTTATCATATGGTAGATACTTGTGAAGTGCCGTTGAGTAGATTCCGACCCATAGTGACCCTGTATAGGGCTTCCAAGGAGCAGCTGGTGAGCTTGAACCACCGACCTTGCAGTTCAAACGACTTTGCAGTCTGACATATTAGCTCACAGCACTACACCAGGACTCCATGATAGATACTTGTTGTTAAGTGCCGTTGAGTTGGTTCTGACCCATAGCGTCCCTGTAGAGGGTTTCCAAAGAGCAGCTGGTAAGCTTGAACTACCGACCTTTGCAGTCAAATGGCTTTGCAGTCTGGCGCATTAACCCACAGTGCCACACCAGGACTCCATGGTAGATTCTTAGAGAACTTTAAATCTTGAGTTTATATCATTCCAGTCACTAATTAAGGCCTTGTTACAGAAGAGTAATGTAAATGATTTTAAAAAATGTTGTTGTTGTTATGTGCCGTGGAGTCGATGCCGACTCATAGTGACCCTGTACAGGGTTTCCGAGGCTGTAAATCTTTACAGGAGCAGAAAGTCTCATCTTTCTCCCGCAGAACAGCTGGTAGTTTCGAACTGCTTAACTTGCGGTTCGCAGCCCAATTCATAACCAAATATACTACATTTTAACCAAAAAAAAAAGAAAGGAAAAAACAAACTCCAGTTTGCAATCCTTTTAAAGTCCTGTATTCTCAAACAAGTAGTCGTTGTTAGGTGCTGAGTCTCTTCTGACTCATCGCAAACCCACCGTGCAACAGAAGGAAACCTTGCCTGGTCCTGTGCCATCCTCACAATTAATGTTCTATCATAGCTTATAGCTGCTGCCACTGTGTCCTTCTTGTTGGGGTCTCCCCGTTTTCCCCTGGCCCTCCACTTTACCACGTATGATGTCCTACTCCAGGGACTGGTCCCTCCTGTAAGAGACGAAGTGTCACCATCCTGGATTCTTAAGAGCATTCTGGATGTACTTCATGCAACAGATTTGTTTGTTCTTCGGCAGTTCATAGTATGTTTAATATTCTTATCCAACACCTGGTGTGGCGCTGTAGGATAAGCACTGGACTGCTAACCGCAAACCCACCTTGGAAACCCTATACAGGTTATTAGAACCGACTCAACGACACTAACAACTCTCAAATATAGCAGACCAAAATAAATTCTTTCCTCACAAACTAAAACAAGACAAAATACAGTGAATAATTCCATAAACAGCTTGCCAAAGTCTGAGTGGTTTCTCATAATAGCAACAACAACAAAAAAATCAGTGTACTTTAAAAAAAAAGGGAGTCCTGGTGTGGTGCTGTGGGCCAGACTGCAAAGCCGTGTGCACTGCAAGGTCGTTGGTTCAAACTCACCAGCTGCTCCTTGGAAACGCAGGGCCATATGAGTCAGAGTCAACTCGACAGCACTTAACAACTTTGAAAAATAGGGGACAATTATTGGGGACAGCATTTTGGGTAAATATCCTTTTGTGATAAGCTAACTCAGATGAACTTTCTACCAGTCTCTCTCGGTCATCTGGGCTCTGCATTTTCTGAAGTCAATGAATTTCTCACTAAAGCACAGGAAAAAGAAGATAAAGTAGGAGAGGGATCAGTTTCACAAAGAGTCCTAAGCAGCAACAGGCTTGAGATGCAATCATAAAACCAACCGAGTATTTCACCCAGGACATGGACACGGCAGGGGGTTACCTGAGGGGAAGTAGAAAGCTGCAAGCCGAAACATGAAGATGCTATCCTTGGAGCTCTGGTAGCGTAGTTAGTGGTTACGAATCGGGTTGCGAACCTTAAGGTCAGCGGTTTGAAACTACCAGCCGCTCCGCGGGAGAAAGATGAGGCTTTCTACTCCCATAAAGATTTACACCCTCGGAAACCCTGTACAGGGTCGCTATGAGTCGGAACCGACTTGACGGCACTTAACAACAACAACATCCTTGGAACATGTCTCACACATACCATGTAAAACAGAAGAAGAGGAAGGCCTTGATGTTGAGGGAACTGGTACTTTTGAGAGTGGCTGTCACTATGGAAAGAAATCGAAACTTTTTTCTTTTTCAGAAATACTGGACTCTTCATCACTTAATAAACTAAAAGGAATATCACTTTTTTTTTGTCAAGTTTTGCCTATTTTTTCACTATGTCCTGTCATATTAATTTGCTTCAGAGTAAAATACGAAAAGTTAATGGGAGGGCTGTGGCAGTTATGTTTTCTCATAGGCTAAGCTTCACAATTTGGGTATTTATGGGTTTAAAACTAAGTTATGTAAGTGTTTATTTTGTGATATGTCAGCCCCTAGAAGAGGTCTCCATTTTTTCTGGTTTGTTAAGAACTGACAGAATGTCATGTCTTCCAGTTTCAGTCCTTATATTATAGACTAGCCTTCTTTCAGTCATTCTCTAGTTGGGGCACTTGCTCCTTCCCAATGTGGAGTCCTGGTGTGGCTCTGTAGGGTAAGCACTGGACTATTAACTGCAAGGTGGTGGTCCTCAGAAACGACTACATTTGTTAAGTTCTCCAACACCCACACTTTGAGAATCCCCTCCATTTGTTCGTCAGCCTGCCTCTTGATATGCGAACTAATGCCTCAGTGTGTTTACCAAGAAGCCAGAGAATCCTGTGGGGTTGAACACTGCAAAGTGGAGGCAGTCAGTCATCTCATGATCTTTAAGAGTCCTCTCCTAGCTGAGCTCTTGCTGGAGAGACTGAAGTCTGTTTTAGATGCTGGGAGTATGCACGTGTGCTGGGGTTCATTAGACCCAAAGTCCCACTTGCTCTTCTCTCCTGGACTGTCAGTCAATTGGTGTCACACTATACAATGTTGTCAGGCTAAAGCGCACACAAGAGAAAACTAAAAACTGTATGGGAACGGGCCAGGACAACATGGATGTAAAAGAATACATACCTGGGGCTTCGGGCCAGGACAACATGGATGTAAAAGAATACATACCTGGGGCTTCGGGCCAGGACAACATGGATGTAAAAGAATACATACCTGGGGCTTCAGAGGCTTTATTTCAAGTTTATATGTTGATTCTTTTTCTAAGGGCCGTTACAGGAAAGTTTATGAAGCAGTGTCTGAAGTATGTTAAATGCCGCTGAGTCAGTTCATAGCAACCCTGTATAGGGTTTTTGAGGAGCACCTAGTGGGTCTGAACTTCTGACCTTGTGGTTTGTAGTCCAGTGTTTACGCTACAGCGCTACACCAGGAGTCAGTCTTAAATCTGTCACAAAGTGCTCCTAGTGTGGTGCTGTGGGTTAATATGCTGGACGCTGAGTTGGTTTGATCTGCAAGGTCGGCAGTTCAAGCTCAGCAGCTGCTCCTTGGAAGCCATATACCAGGGTTGCTAGGGTCAGAACAGCAAAGTCTGTTTCCTACTTTTCTCTGTAGCTCACGGGAATCAAACTCAGATTTGGCTTAAGTTAGAACCACATGATTTACAAGATAAAAGACATCCTGTAATAAAACGGTCACCTTTAGCAAATGCTTGAATTGACTTAATTTCCTAGGAGTAAAATTCCCAAAAACCTTCCTAAGGTTTATATTTTTATATTTAAATCAGAACAGTGGAGTGTAGTGGCTCTGCAGGATAAGTATTGGACTGTTTGAGCCCCCCAGCCGCTCTGTGGGAAAAAAGCTGCTTTCTGCTCCTGCAAAGATTTACAGCCTCAGAAACCCTATATAGTGTTGCTAAGAGTTCTTACTGACTTGGCACTTAACAATAACAAAACACATAACAAGAAGAAATCAAAACAGAAACTATGGTAATGGAAAGCCTTTTCATTTTCTACTAGGAAAGTTATTAGCATCTTTCTATGAACAAAGGTAAATCAATACTGATATTAGGTACACTCTATCATGTGATTTTCAGATGATGAGTTTGTGAAAAGTTAAGGCAACAAAGGAAGTTACGTTGCAACTGATTAAAGAATTCACACACACCCCAAAAAACTCCTGTAGTCTTCTTGCTTATCTTTAATCAATTAAAGACGTTCTGTTTTTACAAATAATCTTAGAACAATTCAGATAATGGAGATTCTCAGGGAAGTAGTTCATACCTGTACATGAAGACTTCTATCACATGCTCCAGTTTTCTGCAAATCACGCTACTGGCTGGATAAACAAACTCTTGTCACAGAAACAAAAATTTTTTTTAGTCATAAATCACTGCATTTATATTTATAAAAAGCCATCCACAAACATGCATTTCTCCTTTCTTACAATTTAAATAGACATTTTAACATTAAGGCCATCACAATTCTAAAACAATGAAATTCTAAGTTAAGGCTTTATGTTCATTTTGAAACCCACACTCAGGCAACTGTGACTAAAGAAAACTTTTTCATTTATGAGATGGAATTCATACACTCAGGACAGATGCTCTTCATCCCTTACCAACAATTCCTCTGAATCAGCTGTATAGAATAAGAATGAATAGCAATACAATTTTACTTTAAGGAATTCTTTGCCCCCTTAACTTTCCAAGATTTCACTATCATTGGCACAGCTTGTGCAAAAGAAGGGATGGTGCATTTATTTGTAAACTCAGAAAACTAATAAAATGCATCCAAGTTTACTATTCGGAAAACTGGCCCACAATTATGAATTCAGGATTTCCTAAATATAGAAACCCCAAAAGCATAAGCTGACCACACTCCCATCCTGAAACAGAAAACGTTCATTTTTTTTTTTAAGCAATAGGTTTTTATCTTCTTTGAAGAAGACTGTTTGGTATCACTCTTTTTTAAAAATAAAAATACTATTTTAGGTGTTATCTATTCTTTAACTGCTAGCCCCAAGGCACACATACGAATGAAAATCCTTGCTAGTCCACTATCTTTCCTTATTCAAGGAAATGAAGAATGGGGGGCAGGGGTGAAAGGAAGGGGTCACTTGAAGTAGCTCCACATTGCACTTGCCCTAGGAAGCTTAGAAGATAGACGTGCAGAGCACTGAAATTTAGGGAAGATATCCATTTCCCTTCCCACCTATCACACACAATGCAGGTGCAGCCTCTGGGTGAGCACTGCTCCAATCTCCTGTCGAGAGGGAATTCTGTCTGTGGGGCAGGACCGGAAGAACTACTGGCTAGTGCCACAGCCCAATGCCCCCATTTAGGGGGACTTACTGTTAGTAGAAAGGTCCCTGTTATAAGTGCTCACGGTCATTCCTGTAAGCAATAATTTTAGAGCCACAAACTTCTTGTGAAGAAAGTTGGACATTGATATAGGTATTAATTACAGCTCATGTAGAGAAGGGGATTCAGCTGACTCTGTGAACACTACCAGTGTGTTGCCTGACATCCACGTTTTGTGACCTGGAAGTTGTGCAAACATGCCTAAATCGTGAGCAGTTGTAGTCAGTGGCTTTCCATCTTTGTGTTGGTTGTTTAATAACCTTTTGTTTCACTTCCACATCCACACTTCTCTGCCTTTGGCTGCTGCAATCCTCAGCACTGGCTTTACTGTGAGACAAAGACATACACAAGGTTGGATGCTATTGCCTTCAAGTTGAAGCATACACTGTTATAAACTTATCTGTAAGTAAGAAAAGTTCACATGAAAATCACCATGGAAAGTAGAGTACATAAGCCATTAGCATAAGCATTTGTGATGATTACCAAGACATACGTGTACGTGGGCTATACATGTTTGTACGTACGAGATGGAACATGTATGTGCTACATGCAGGAAACTATTGTGTCACTATGCCTGGCTCTGTCCGCTGTGTCCTGTTCTCTGCTTGGGATTTCTGAACTCGATGGAACCACAGACGCATATGTAGTCTGATGTTGCCCGAGTGGACACTATACAGCACATGACTATTTCAAAAGTCAGAGACAGAATTTTCCTTTGTCTTTAAATCAGAAAAGAGGGACATGTGAAAGCAGATGAAGCTGCAAGCGACAGGTGTCTCAAGCCACGAATGCACTGTGGTTTCAATCTACGTTAGGTATTGTTATCAGGAGACAGGGATTCCTAACAAACACCGACACAAAGTGACATGTCAACTAAGAGGTTTTCAACATTTCCACTAAGATGATGTGAAGATTGGAAAAGTGTGGACCCTTGTACTGCGTAAGCTGGAATCAGCTACATGGCTCTAGATTGTTTGTCAAGGTTTGAAATACCTTTTCTTTTTCAAACGATGGGAAGACTAACTGTGAGGCGGCAGTGACAGGCAATGCAAGACAAGGGCTTTTAAATCGGCATCTTACACTTCATAAAACACTCAACATTTATACACAAAGTCAGCTTTACAAGTACAAAAGGCAAAGACTAAGCAATGGCATCATCAACTACCTTCAACAGTGTTGTTCCTATTCCCTAAATGCGGACCTGCGTGGGGACTTGGCTCAGAAGTTGGAGACGGTGTGTAATTCCGCACATGTCTGGGTTTCTACAGAACTGAACTGAGACTCCATCGGGTTCCAGGCCAGATCGGCCAGAAGAAAGTCACCCATAGCTGTTTGCGTTTCGTTGCTGGTGAAGAACAAACTGTTCAAGTTGTCAAAGCCAGAGTGCATCGTCTGGGTTTCTGTACTACTCAACTGCACTTTGCTTTCTAGCGGAGGTATGCTTTTAGCAACGGAGAGCCCTTCTGTTTGGGTCTCTGTATCCGAGGAATCCGTACTCATGGAAAAGCTGGAGTGTTTTAGAATACTTCCCAGAGGCAGGTGAGGGTTACTGTCTAAAAAGAAGTTTAAGTCTGTCTGCGTCTGTGTATCGAACATCTCAAGGCCTAAGAAGTTAGCATTCTCCCTACAACTGTAGGGCTGAGCAGAGGTGTCTGCAAGTAAGAAGTCTGTTTGGGTCTCTATGTCCAGTGATTCTAAGACAGGCTCGGGGTTCATGTTGCTAAGTTCACTCTCTTCTGTTTGAGTTTGGATATTTGAGGCCGAAAAGAACTCTTCAATATCAAAGTCAATTCCTGGATTCTGGGTTGGAGCCGATGGGAGCTGGGTGTCAGATTCAGTGTTCGTGTCAGACAAGAGACTTCGGTTATCCAGTGTCTGAGCAGGAAGATTACTTGACAGTATGTTTTCTAAGTCACTTAACAGGTCTATGGTTTGGGTCTGGTTATCTGTCATGTTCTGTGCACTGAAGCTGATAACTGATGCAGATTTCTCCATGTCTTGATTTAGAGTCTTTGGGTCATCCTGAGGTAACAAGCCATGAGTTACAGTGTCTGCTACTAAACTGTTGCTTATAATATTGTCTGTGGAGACACTGTACGATGAATGGACACTCTCGAAGATGTCTCTGCACATTACAGCTTGGTCCATCTGAGTACGGTCATCTGAAGAACTCGGCATTCCACTGGTCTGTGTTTCCTTGGAGACCCCAGTGGACTGGAGACAGGCATCCATGAAGGCATCGGTCTGTGCAGCTATCGATGACGTAGCCTTAGGGCTGGGCGGAAATGTCTGAGTATGGACACTAATGGGTAAAGAGACCTGCGAACCGAACGTCAGGTCCGTTTGAGAGCAAGACGATACCGAGGAATCTTGGGCAGCCCACTGCACAGAAGGCATGAAGTTTTGTGAGGTGTAAGACAGATCTGTCTGTATGTTGATAGAAGAAATGCTGTTCTTTTGACAGGTGTCCCCTAGTTGTTGTAAAGTGTTAGATGGACTTTTACCCAAGTTCACTTGAACACCTGTACTAATTGGCTCAACGGCAACAGAATTCACAGTTTTTGAAAAAGGAAGGCTCTCCTTCAGAGCACAAGCCTCTGAATCTAAGCCAAGAACCAGGGTTCCTATTGACAAGGGAAGTAAATGCACAGCCCCCGTGGCAGAGCCCCGATGATCTATACCTAACACCACAGGCTGGGCTAAGGAGTCCGCAGTAGGCACGAAGACAGGCATGGGAGAGAACTGCATAACAGGTAGTTTAACCAAAGCCACCTTGGGCTTTGGTAGAAGCAACTTCGGAGGACATCTTGGAGGTGGTGTAAGGGTCTGTTTTCTGGCATGAGAGGTGCAAGAGTCTTCAAAAGAAGCTAATAGCTTAATTTCAGAAGTTTCCAGTTCTTGAGTGTCTGGCTTAGGAGAGGGCTTAGTGACCAATGATGATTCAATGGTCTTATTGGACAACTTTAGGCTGTGCATGGAGTTTTCCATCTTCCTTTTCTTACTAGGTGGGTCCCTGAAAACAATGAGCGGCAACAGAAAAAACCATGTTAAAATACAGCTTTACTCAATCACGATATTGGTTCTTCAATTTACTTAAAAATACTATGCCTCACATCTACAGCCAAGGTCAGATTTAAGGGAGAGAAGGGTATCCCTTCTTTACAGCTCTGAGCACTGGACCTATTCTGGGAAATCAAGGTTCAGAAACAAACTTTTTTAAAAAAAAACTCAAAGTACAGAACTCAACTCAGATCTGTAAGCATAAAGATTATATAAGGGAACTTCTATTATATAAGCTCCTTCTTAAGTCAGGAAATATTACACCAAATATACATTTGACCTTTACAATGAAGTACAGTTTCATAATAATCTGCTATCTCCCTAATAGAAAATGCTAGAAGTTGAGATTTACAGAGAAGACTCATGAGCGAACTTTAAAGGGACTTGGCAGAAAGAATAAGGAAGAGCAATTGGTTCATAATTTCTGGCCCAGATGTGGGTCCTTTGCTAGTACTGTGGCCACATCTTCCTTAGGCCTCACCTGTGCTCTGCGGGGATCTCATGGCCAGTCCGGTAGATGTGTGACTGCAGCGCCGTTCTGCTGGCGTAGGGGCAGCCGCACGTGCACTGGAAGGTCTTGCCGCAGTCCTCAGCGTGCCTCCTCAAGTCCCACTCGGTGCCGTAGGAGTTGCTGCACTTGCTGCACTTGTGTTTCTTCTCGGCGTGCATCTTCATGAAGTGCTAGGGAGAACCCACAGGGACTGATGTGAATGCCGGCAGCCGCTCGGAGCCTTCAAAACCCACTGACATGCCTACACCCACGTGGTTTCGATGCATAGAACAGAGCAGTCCAGGTTGGAAAGAATTTAAAAAGGTAAATGGCAGATACCACTTTGACTGTTAGTGTGAGGAGATGGTCATGGAAATGATCCCTGGGACCCAGCATTTAGGCTTTGGTTACAAGTAGGTGCTCTGGGCAGAGGAAGTGTCTTTGTGGTGCTTGCCTGAGGACCATGTGAGCCAACACTCGGAAACATTTCAGGGGATCACCTCTTCCAGTCCTGAGCCATCCTGGGCCCCTCCCTTTCTTAAGATACCTGCTGTTGGGACTTCTGCACCCCAGATTTTCCTTAATCCTTGGGAGGGCCCTTCCTTTCACCTTGTGCAGGTTGGCACATGGAGACCTTGAAGTGTGTATGTCTAATTTTGGTCAAATTGGCCTGTTTCTCTTCCTCTCAGAACCCACTTCTGGATGCCTCCTCCTCTGGATGAAACTGCGTTTCCTCCCACTGTCATGCACACACACTTACTTTCTTACGCAGCTCTGGGCTGGATTTGCTTACATGTCATGTGCACTAAGTAATGAGAGTGCACAGCTGGTTTATACCAATCATCTGCCTGACAACCTCAGAGAAGCATACTTAAGACAAATGAAATACCTGTTTTACAAGAGAAAACTGGGAAAATGGCCTGTCAGGACCTCTAGGGCAGCCTTCAATTGGACAACAGTAGAATTTTGGAGCTGTTTTCAAATCTTTTCTTATTGTTGGATTCACTATGCCGTCCTGCAAAAAAAAAGATTAAATAATTAGCCTTCAAAAAGTCAACAGGTCAGAACCTACGAAACCTGGCCTCCAAGCTAACTGCTCCCCTACTCCTCGGAGTCTAAGATCCTCTCCCAAAGTGTCCCAGGGCAGCCTTCTAAAAAAGATTGTATTGAGGAAGTATACTAGACGCAATCGTACGAAATTCACAAGGGAGCAATTGAAAAGTCTCATCAACGTCTTCAACTATGAACCCTACCCAAACTACACTACTAGACAGAAGCTTGCTTTAGAAATCAATATGGAAGAGTCTAGAATCCAGATTTGGTTTCAGAATCAGAGAGCTAGACACCTATTCGAGAAAAGATCAAAACCTAATGAGGCATTAAAATCCAGCCAAGAACGTAGGCAAGATAACCTTGAAGAAAGAAGTCAAGTCAGACGTTGTCGTACCTACTATAACGCATCTCAATTGTGCACCTTGAAGAAGGCATTTAAGAACAACCCTTATCCTGGGACTGAATGTAGAGAACAACTTGCTAAAGAAATCGGGGTTCCAGAATCAAGAATCCAAGTTTGATCGGAGATCTAGATTACTTTCCCAGATTAAAGAAGATTCTGACGAAACCACAGACAGTGAGACCAAGAAACAGAAGAGCCGGGATGACAAGACTCAGAGTAACTTAACTGGTTTTGAAGCCACACGAGATGAGATGACCCAAACCAGTGACTTGAGTGGTCTGGATTCAGAATGAGCCGTGTAGAAACATATCTAGTATCCCTGGTGTCATCACTTGAGGCCCAAAACCCATCTCCCATTCTTCCTAGAAATGTCTTGTTTCCCTGGGCTAACGAGCTGAGCCTTCTGACAATTGTACCAGACCTTGGAGATCTAGGCGTGTGTAAGAGACATCCCACTGCCTTCCTAATCTCACCTGACGAGAGTTCAAGAAATTGCAGAGCAATGAAAAAATTTAATAAACATCGTTTAAAAAATCATCCTCATCGATTCAAGCAAAAAAAGAAAAAATATATCCATCAATGTTAAAACGTTTTAAGTGTTTGAAGAATAAGATAATGTCTCAAAAAATCTTCCCCACAGGCTACATATTAATTATAAAAGGAAATTATCATTGAGAAACTGGGAAGACTAAAATCTGCTTCACTTGTAATGGCATCAACTGGTACAAGGAAGTACTAGGGAGGACACCACATCTCCTCTTTATGTCACCGCCCAAAGTGCATATACTGACTAACCAGGAAAAAATACCAGACTCACTGAGGGACACACAAGTCACAGTTCTGTGCACTCTTCAAAACCAGACTGAACAGTCCTAACAGGGAGAGAGAGAAAGTACGTCATCTCAGGAACTACCGATGAAGCGAGCCTCCTGAAGTTTTCTTCTACGGATATATGCAGAGGTCTGTTTATACCTAAAATGTCTCTCCAAAAACACAAAACAAAACAAAACAAACTGGGAACACTGTGGAAAGGAATGAGAGAAAGAACAAATTACCATTTTACTCTTTCCATCCTATTTGAACTTTAAACATTTAAATGGTGATATTTAAAAGCAATTTTAAATGTGGTCAAATATAATATTACATGAAAGAAACCAGACATTAAAAAAAAAAAAGTCAACAGGTCAAACTAAGGGTTAGAATAGGAATGAATGACCCCAGGCACAAGGGCTTTTCCAGGATGAGGGACATGCTCTTTAGTGGACTGTGGGGCGACTGCCCAACTCTATAAACTTACAGAATCAAGGCATGAAGTGATTCACTGAACATGGGTGGATTTTATGCTAAGTTGTAGTTCAATGTAGCTGTTACTTATTTTTAAACCCTACTATTTAAAAACCTTACTTCTATCTAGTCCTTTAAAACTCTTCCTCTTAAACTTCAGATTTCTCTCCTTAAAGCCAGCTTTTCTATTTGGAAGTGGCACTGTATTACTTTCCAGGTTTAAGATTTTGGTATCATCCTTAAGGGCCTCTCTCCTCTATTGTCCCTCCAACCCCAAATACCAGAACTTAGTCTGATTCCCTTGGGGAAAACCTTCTGTAGGTTATGACCTTTTCTGTAGTTATAAAGTGTTGCTGAGTCGATTCCAACTTAGTGACCCTGCACAGGGTTTTCAAGGAGCGACTGGTGGGCTTGAACTGCTGACCTAGTAAAGAACACTTAATGAGATTGTTTTGTGATCAATGTCACCTACAACAGATGAAGCTAACTGATACAACTGTCATAATGTACTGTGGATATACTCACTGCCACAGCGTTGATTCCGACTCACAGCACCCTACCGGACAGAGTCGAAATGCTCCTTAGGATTTCTGAGACTGTAAATCTTTACGGGAGCAGGCAGCCTCAACTTTCTCCCATGGAGCGGCTGATGGGTTTGAACATCTGATCTTGCAATTTAACAACTTTACCCTAATGCTTACCCCTACTGTTTCACCAGGGTTACTAAGTTTCCATGTAAACACTCTATATGAAATGTAACTCACATTCACAACAGTGTAAGGTACTGTGCTATGTACATTCACTCATTTCATGCCAACAGCTACCACCTGTTATTATCAAGTATGTGACTAACTGGTGCCTTAATTCAACTTGGGTGCTGAAATGGCCTTGCTACCCTAGAGGTACCAGGACCTCCAAGAGAATTCTTGTCAGGCCTCTCCTGTGTCCCTGAAGGAAGGTGGGTGGTGAGGGGCCCCCTGTGCTCAGGCTTTAGCTGCTGCGGCAGCATCTCTAACAAAAGTCTGTCCTGTGAGTATATTCCAGTAAGGAAGGCTCTGCTGCTTTTGGAACATGCCACCTCCTTCTCAAGCATCAGTGTGTACTTAGAGAGGTGAGAAATTCACCACCACCGTGGCTAAGACACTCTTTCTTTCTCACTGGATCTCAAGGGGAACATGTTGATTTAACTATCTGTACCCACTCATTTATAGGAGAAAAACAGCTATTCTTATTTTATTTTGAAATGGAGTAATTTATCTTTGTGAGTTTCTGTTTTTCCTCCATGTCTTCAACAATGGTCCAACCTTTTATAGCTCTACTGGCACAACACTGCCTGGGCATTCATTTGGATTATTTAAGTGTTCTCCCAAATCATTTCCATTTATAGATATGGTAGCGCAGGGGTGTCTGACCTCCTCTGACTTTACAAAGGGGATGGAGAACATTATCAACAACCCAGGACTGGTTCCTAGGGGGCAGAGGTCAGGTACACCTCCACTAACCAAACTTTAAAAAAAAAAAAAAACCAATTCTGACACAAACCACCCCTCCCAAGGCACTCTCTACTTCTATGCTGGGCTCGATAATTGGTTGCAATGGGCACACAGAAGGCACAGATCTTACAATTATGGAGTCTATTAGCGAAGTGGAGTCCTGGTGTGGCGCTGTAGGATAAGCACTTGACCTTACCGTAAGGTTGGCAGTTCAAACTTAACAGCCACTCTTCAGAAACCCTATACAGACAGGGTGACTATGAGTGAGAACTTAATCACAACACAGAGAGGAGAAGTAAGTTTACAATCCAGGGTCAGGAAGGACTTCAATCAGGACAGCTTCTTCTCAGCAGTGTCCCTTGGGTCTCACAGGATGTCATCTGCCCTAAGTGTCTGTCACAGACCTCTGTAGCTCTGCCTGTCAGAGCCCAGGGGCACCCCACTCGGCTCTCTCTGGACGGCCTTGGCCTATCTCTGCTGACAAGTGCCGGCAAGTCTGCGGCCCAAATGCGCTCGGCCCTCTGGCTCCTCACTCTGTGGGTCACGAAGCCCACTGTGCCTTCCTGGCCAGTCTCCTGGTTCTGCCAATGCTGCTTTCTCTGATGTCCCTTCTCACAGTCTATCACTGTCACCGCTACTGCACTTCTTCTGTGTCCTGGATCTGGGAGGTTCTCAGTATAGGAACCCCAAGTCCAAAGGATGCACTCTAGTCCCACCTCTTTGTGTTGGTGGGCCATGAACACCTCATTTGCATTGTTGTTGAAACTGACCCTGCACAGGGTTTCCGAGGCTGTAAATCTTTGCACAAGCAGAACACCTCATCTTTCTCCCACGGAACCGCTGGTAGTTTTGAACAGGTTAGCAGCCCGATTCGTAACCACTATGCTATCAGAGTTGTTGTTAGGTGACATGGAGTCAGTACTGACTCATAGCGACCTTATGCACAGCAGACGGAAACACTTCCAGATCCTGGGCCCACCTCACTATTGTTGACATGCTTGAGCCATTTGCATAGCCCCACCCAATCATTTGATGGAAGTTACAAGATCATGGCTAGAAAGGCCACATGAAGCACTTCCTCTAAAGGAACTAAAGAATGAAGAAAATCAAAGATCCATAGAAACATTTAGTTCAGAGGATTAAGGGACCACGTGAACCTCAGCTTCTATGACACTGATCTAGATGGTGGACAGACACTACTGCTGACTGCTCTGAAAGGGATCACAGTAGAAGGTCCTGGAGAGTGGGCAGAAAATTGTGGAATGAAACTCAAAGTCATAAAAAAAGACCAGGCTTACTGATTGGAAAGAGACTGGTGTAACCCCCAAGACAATGGCCCTTGGTCACTCTTGAGGTCTGGAAATGAACTGACCCATGTGGCTCAACTTTCCACCAGACAACAGACAGGTCTTTAAGATAAATAGTAACACCAGGGAGGTACACCCTCCTTATAATAACCAAGAACCTAAAGTACATCATTTGTCCAAGGATAAAGTTCAAGAGGCAGGGAGAGTTGGAATGAAGGCCAGATGGAAACAGTCAACAGGAAGAAATGGGAACAGCACTGTTACACTGTGGGGATTGCATTCAATGACGCAAAAAGTATGGACTGCTGAATGGGAATCATTGAGCTATAAACTTTTACTTGGATCACAATGAAAAAATCATAAACAAAGAAATGAATCCATCATGCCACACCCTTCCTCTTTTAAAGTAACAAAAATTTTGACATTCCAAAAAGTAATGTGTACTACCAGCTGTTCCATGGGAGAAGGATGAGGC